CAACAAGAGACAGTGACAAAGAGAGACTGACTCTCAAAAACAAACAAACAAAAAAATAGGTGTGGGCATCACCAAACTGGGTGGAAATAACTACAACTTCACAAATACAACATGGTAACATTTTAGAAGACCACACCTACACACAGAGAAAATACTGAGCTATCCCACCTGCTGCCAATGGGCTTTAGGAAGAAGTGATTCACGAAAGATGCAAAGCCCAGGGGGAGCTGCTGCACCGTCGCCTCACCTGAGAATGTGGGACACCTCCTGTGACGTCCTGGGTCTCAGTAGCACCTTGCTACAGCCTGCAACAGAAAAGAGCCCCAGTGAGACAGTGAGAATAAGAGATTCAAGCTAGAATCAACCAATTCCTGCCTGAATGAACGCTCTTTGAAGACACTTTCTTCTCTTCCTCAGTGAGGTGACCTGCACAACCAGTTATCAGTAGGTTCATAACTCATCAGATATAAGAGCAAGATGTTGGCTTGGCCCCTGTAACACAGTGGTTTCAGTACCGGCCACATGTACCAAGACTGGTGGGCAAAATGTTAAAAATGGCTCCTAACTTACACACTGGTGGGAGGAAGTGGGCCAGGTATTGGAGATAGTGTGCAGCGGTTGGTGTGGCTGGGCCCTTGGCTGCAATCCATGGACCTGCAGCCACGGAGGCTCCTATATCCACTAATCTCATCAGTAGCAAGGTTGGCTCCAGTCCTTGTGAAGGGATGGCTGCCTGCTAGGCCACTCCACTGCAAAGTTACTGTGTTTCCCTTTGCAATTAGTAAGTATCTCATGAGGAGACACTTTAAGACTATGTAAATACCCTATTGTTTCTCAAAACTCACCCATTGATTTTATTTTATTTTTTTTTTTTTGAGACAGAGCCTCAAGATGTCCCCCTGGGTAGAGTGCCATGGCATCACAGCTCATAGCAACCTCCAACTCCTGGGCACAAATGAATCTCCTGCCTCAGCCTCCCAAGTAGCTGGGACTACAGGCACCTGCCACAACGCCCAGCTATTTTTGGTTGCAGCCGTCTTGTTGTTTGGCGGGCCAGGCTGGATTCAAACCTGCCACCTTAGGTGTATGTGGCTGGCACTTTAGCCACTTGAGCCACAAGCGCCAAGCCCACCCATTGATTTTAGCATCTGTTAATTATCTGCCTGAATCAATTATTACAATGGTTGCTAAGTGGTGACTTTTTCTGAATCTATCCACCCACCTCCATTTATTAACTTTTTTCTGTAAAAAAGGCTTTTCTCTGGCTCTGACTTAATTATTTAACTATTTATTCATATCAGCTTCAGCTCATGGACTCTCATTTTATCCACTGAGTTTTAAGTTTTTGCTGCCATCATGCAATTCATGTTCAGATGTGAGTAATGGGAGCACTCTGAGCTAGTTAATTGCGTCACTGACCACCACCACCCCAAGATGACAAAGTTTCTCTCTGCCTTCTGTATTCTTAGAAGGCCCTTCACAGGTGACAAGGACTCAGAAAGGCAGCAGAAAGTTCACTGATACTCTCTCCTTGCTCTTTATGGAGTTCTAAAATTCAATCTGTGGTTTCTAGCTTTTTTGACTTTAAAAGCCTCTTACTTCATCAAACAAACAATTTTTGCAGAGGGTTATCTGGGGTCTAGTGGTCCCAAGATCCTTCAGTGCAGGGCCCTCCCAGCCTAAGCAGTTTGTGTCTGCCACACTCACTCCATCTAGTCATCCTGAGTAAGCACAGAGCACAGGGTTCTTGAAGAAGGCTGTGCTTTCAACTCAGAGAAGCTACTTTTTTTTGAGACAAAGCCTCAAGCTATCCCCCTAGGTAGAGTGCCGTGGTATGGCATCACAGCTCACAGCAACCTCCAACTCCTGGGCTCAAGCGAGTCTCCTGCCTCAGCCTCCCAAGTAGCTGGGACCACAGGAGCCTGCCACAACGCCCAGCTATTTTTTGGTTGCAGCCATCATTGTTGTTTGGCGGGCCCGGGCTGGATTCAAACCCGCCATCTTAGGTATATGTGGCTGGTGTCTTAGCCACTTAAGCCACAGGCGCCGAGCCTCAGAGAAGCTTCTAAACTGTTTGTGCCAAGGTTCCCACCAAGACCAGGGTGCCCAAAAAGTGTGTTAGAGCCAAGCATGAGCCTGTTCTACAGAGTAAAAACAGACAGTATTTCCCACACTTGTGCTGTTTACTTCTCAGTAGAAAAGACAAAAATGAGGGGTCGCTTATTTTTGGTGGTCCACTCTGTTAATAATGAGAGTCCTGGGCGGTGCCTGTGACTAGTGAGTAGGGTGCTGGCCCCATATACTGAGGGTGACAGGCTCAAACCTGGCCCCAGCCAAACTGCAACAAAAAATAGCCGGGCGTTGTGGTGGACACTTGTAGTCCCAGCTGCTTGGGAGGATGAGGCAAGAGAATTGTCTCAGCCCAAGAGCTAGAAGTTGCTGTGAGCTGTGATGGATGCCACTGCCACGGCACTCCACCAAAAACAACAAAGTGAGACTCTGTCTCTAAGAAAAGAAATAAATAAAGGGCAGTGCTTTCAACTCAGTTGAGTTGGGCGCCAGCCCCATATACTGAGGGTGGCAGGTTTGAACCCTGCCCTAGCCAAACTGCAACAAAAAAATAGCTGGGCATTGTGGCAGATGCCTGTAGTCCCAGCTACTTGGGAGGATGAGGCAAGAGAATTAGCTAAGCCCAAGAGCTGGAGGTTGCTGTGAGCTGTGATGCTACAGCACTCTACCGAGGGTGACAAAGGGAGACTCTGTCTCTAAAAATTAATAAATAAATGTAAGTAATAGTGAGAGTTCCTGCTCGGTGCCCACAGCTTAGCAGTTAGGGTGCCAGCCAAATACTGAGGTAGGCGGGTTTGAACCTGCTAAACAATGACAACTGCAACAACAACAAAAAAATAGCTGGGAATTGTGCCAGGTGCCTATAATCCCAGCTACTTGGGAGGCTAAGGCAAGAGAATCACTTAAGCCCAAGAGTTTGAGGTTGCTGTGAGCTGTGACGCCATAGAACTCTATTGAGGGCGGACACAGTGAGACTTTATCTCAAATAATAATAAAGTCCCACAAAGACAGAGCAGGGAGCATGGAGCAGAAAGTCATCAGGAAAGCAAATCAAGGAACTGGAGGAAGAGTAGCTAAAAGAGCCAGAGCTGGCTCAGCACTCGTAGCACAGTAGCTATGGCTCCAGCCACATACACCAAGGGTGGCAGGTTCGAACCCGGCCTGGGCCAGCTAAACGACGATGACAACTGCAACAAAAAATAGCAGGGCATTGTGGTGGGTGCCTATAGTCCCAGCTACTTGGGAGGCTGAGGCAAGACAATTGCCTAAGCCCAAGAGTTGGAGATTGCTGTGAGCTGTGATGCCATGACACTCTACCCAGGGCAACATAGTGAGACTCTGTCTCAAATAAATAAATAAATACTCTAGTTACTGCGTGGAAAACAAACGCAAAGCAGGCTTCAGGAAGACCAGTTA